CTCATTCATTTTTCAGATATCGGACATTCAATTGTTTTTTTTGTTTTTTTTATGATACTGAATATTTGACTATCCTTGCTTTCATAGAAGAAATGTCATAATAATAAAACATCTGAACAAAAACAAGAGAAAATTAATCAAAGTAAAAAATGAATACAATTAGGCATTATAGTTGTCACTGTTATAGGTGTTTTCATATGTTTCTTGTTCTCCTCCCCTGTTTAGTTCAGGTCTACCTAGTTTCTGATCTTGTCATTAGTTTCCATGGTTACGTACAGTACGGTTAGTTTCAGGTGTGTCTCATTAATTTACCAATTATATATACTCCCTGTTTCGTTCCGTCCTCTGCCGGGTTTTTGGATTACACTACTTCATAGTGCGCTTAATATAGCACTACATGTTACAGAATAACCGGCCTAAAAGTGATTAATTTGTGGAGTTTCTCTTTCTTTTTGCTTTGTTTTCTTTTTTGTATTTATGGATTTGCCCGATGTCAAGAGGATCGTTCCTTCACTACCCAGACAGCTGCCTGTGTACATTCTATTACGTTGGACTGAACACCTCGATGAAGGCCAAGCTGTCTGGGGAAGGTCCTCGATGAAGCTTCGCCGCATTTGTGGAGTGGGTGCTGATGAATTGTGGATTGGTTTTCACCATCGGCCCCATGGGGGACATCACCAGCCCTACTCCTGACTCAGAGCCCAGCCTGCCATCACCCTGCTGCACGGAGTGATTGTCTGTGTCCACCACAGATGGAAAGCCAGAGCCAGCCGCGACAAAAGAGCTAGTGCAAGACGATGAGACTGATCCTGCCGCTGTAGAAATTCTAGTGGAGTAGGCGGGCATGGAGGAAAGCCCCGCCCACATTCCCACCACTGAGGGTTAGCTGCTGCTGGCCTCTGAATTAATATTTAAATATTTGGAAGAGGAAAACTTCCTGTTTCTCTCGTCACCGCTGGTTCCGTCCAGCCCTGAATGTCCTGCGTTCCCGCTGGTTATGCCCAGCCCTGAATCTCCTGTGATCCCGCTGGTTCCATCCAGCCCTGAATCTCCTGCATCTCCTGAATCTCCTATGTTGCCCATCACCTGTTCTCCTGTGTTCTCTCCCTCCTCCTCTCCTAAAACCAGCCAGTTCCTCAGCCCTGCCTCCACTGGTTCTTGTCAGTCCCTCAGCTCACCCTAAGTTAGCACCATCCAGGTGCTCTGATTCACTTCGGGCCTTCCAGTCCCCAGCTCCTCCTTGGCATGAAGATCCCTTATCTCCACATCTAGCCTCTGAGTCCCGGACTCCACCGCGAACCTCCGACCCATCAGTGCCACCTTGGCTCCTTGTTCTCTCATCTCCACCATGGCCCATCATCCCACTGGCTCCACTGGGCTCCCTCATTCCTCTGGCTCTGCCTTGGTCAATCATCGACCTGCCTCCTCCACAGGATTGCACTCCTCCTGCTTCGTCTTGTTGCTCCATCCCTCAGGCTCCATTTGGCTCCTCCTTCCTTCTGGCTCCACATTTGTCCTCAGTCGCTCTGGCTCTGCCACGGTCTTCTGGGTCCCTGCCTCTGCCTCAGTCGCATGAGCTGTCAGCTCCGCCTTGGCCCTCCGGACCCACGGTGTCACTCTGGCTCTTCAGCTCTCCGTCCCCGCCTTGGGCTCCACCTCTATCGGCTCCTTCTCCATCAGCCTACCTCCACCATGGCTCCTCCCTCCATCAACTCCATCATGGGCCTTCTTCCTGCCTGGACTCTGGATCCAAATCTGGTTCCTCCTGCTTCTGGCTCCTCCCTCTATCATCGTCACCTTCCTCTCACCATCCATCAACTCCCCTGGTTTCCTGTCCTCTGTGTACTCTGTGTCCTCCTCCAGAGCCCCCCCTTCCCTCCTCGGATGGACTCTTTGCAGCGCGAGGACACGCCTTCCAGGAGGGGGAGCTACTGTCATGGTTATGGACTATTTGTTGTTTTTTTTCTTATGTTTCTTGTTCTCCTGCCCTGTTTAGTTGAGGTCTCCCTAGTTTCTGATCTTGTCATTAGTTTCCATGGTTACGTATTAGTTTCAGGTGTGTCTCATTAATGTACCCATTATATATACCCCCTGTTTTATTTAGTTCTCTGACGGTTATTTGCTTTACATGGTGTTTGTGCTACGTTTGCTCCTGCAATTCTCCTGTGTTTATTCCTTGTGGATTTAAAATTAAAACGCTGTTTTGGATTATGCTACTTCGTTGTGCGCTTAATATAGCGCTACACGTTACAATAGTATTACGAGGCCTAAATCCACTTCCATAAGCAAGCGCTGTAATTTCTGCAAGATCCAGTAGATGTCTTACCAGTTTCACAGACCACTCCTGCATCCTCTTTATGTGAGCAGTCAGTAACACCCCAGCCTTTGAAGCAGCATTCAGACAATGAGCCCTCTGAGCCTTTGCAGTTCATGTCATCCAGCCAGATTGGACCAGAGCCTAAAAAGTATAATAGAACACGGGTCAAAAATTAGACTGCTGGTATCACAGTGCGTAGCATTTAAATTGTTTTCCCCACACTAATGTGTTTATACCTTCACCATATTGTCCTCCAGGCGTAACTGATTTTGCTCCAGGAAAACCCAGCTGACGACACACCACTTGTGCTTCAGCCAGGTCCCATCCGTCATCGCAAACTGTACCCCACTGCCCGTCATGGTAGACCTCCACACGACCAGATGAAGGCAGATCCCCCACCAATCGCACTCTGCCTTCACGTTTAGGCTTTGACTCTTCATCTGTCACAAGCAATAAACTCATTTATTTAGAGGGTTCATGAAAATGTAAAAGAAAGCCCACAACAAATAAGACAGACCAATCTGTGAAACGATGAAGGCTATATTTAAGATCAGATGAACAGCTTTGCAAAGATTTAAAGTAGATGGTAGTATATTCTTATATTTGTAAACACATGCATTTTTGTGTAATATTTATATAGAAAGTGCAAACGCAAACAATATTATGTAATTGTAAAGAAGTGTTATGTTCATATAGTCTACTAACCAAACAAAGTCCACCGCTGTGCTGACACATGGAAAAACAGCAATGTCCATAAAATATACATGACCATTTTCTTGCTGGAAACTCTTTAAAACACCAAATCAGGATGAACACAATTCATGGAGGTTCTTACTAATAGACTTACAAACTGTCTTGCTTTCATTTAAATATCTGCTAAATCAGGTCAAGCATTGTGAGATATCCCTTACATGATCCACCACTGTCCAATCACAATTAAGGTCTGCCTTAAGTTTCATTTCATGAGAAAACAAACTCAAGAATACAGGCAGTCTGCATGTTCAAACAAATCCAGTTTCAGTGGTTGTTTTGAGTTTGACACAAAGACCTTTCACACAATACTTAGGTTCTCAAGCCATTTCTCAGCACTGGTGTATGTACATAAAAAGTCTATGCTCAAACAAACGTGACTGTGTTCTGTTTTATTCATATTCACAAGACCTTTTGAATCCGGGGTTTGGCATTCAAGTGACTTCAAGTGCGACCGGACCTGGCGTTGAAACGGATTTGAGCATGACGCAGCTGAAACACTCATGATTAGTGTTAACTACAATTCTTTTGCAGCATATTGTCACATATATTATGGCTTTTACTTACTGATAACTGTAAATTTTGGATCTGAACAGAAATTCAAGAGTTACAGTACAACGTACGTTTCATGCAGTATTCATACGTCTTGAACAACGAAAGCTATTGCAAAAGAAATAAATCTGAATGTAATAGCCAAAAAACAACATTTTTATGGTCCACAGTCATCAGTTTTAACAGGGTGGACATTAATTAACTGGTGGACACCTGGACAATAAAGAACCCTTTTTGACTAAGAGGACAAGGTGACACCTGTTGCAAGACTTGTACTGTGCTCAAATGATTTACACATTCAGAGCATAACAATAGTCTTTTATCGAAAGGACACTGTTTCTTAGAATAATACAACTCTTTTGGCTGATGCTATATGACACTGCTGGGTGTGAGCACATCTCAAAGAAGAACATGAAATTTAAGCTCTTTGACATTCAGATCTTCATTTGTAACTTATAAGGTTGCTCACTAAAACAAATATTACTGTGACAGTACTTGTATTATTTGTTACTTCAGTTAACATGAATTAAAATGCAAAGAATTTGTTTAAATTTAGTTTTTCCTTGGCTAGATAAAGTTGGCCACCTTGAACCTTCACTAATTCACATTCATTAAATAAACGGACATTGACTGATTGTTTTCTTGTAGCAATGACATTTAGAAAACAGAAGTGTGCAGTTAGGAATTTCAAAAAAGGGAAAGCGAGAGCAGAAAGGAAGGTGAGGCATGAAGCTGAAACTGTGGAGTGAAAAAAGAAATGAAGAAGAAGTAAATGTAGATGCAGAGAAGAACTATTCAAGTTATGTTCACAATTAAAATTCATTTAAAGGGATTAGAGAAAAAAATATATAGTCACATTTTAAATGTGTTGTAGAGTTCATTTTCTTCAATATGCTGTTAGATTTCATCAAATTGAATGTCACTATGCTTTCAGTTGTTTGAATTTTATGCATGAATTGAGTGAACTCATGAATTTTACTCCTATAGCCTTAACTTACTACTGTAGCCTAGGCTATATGTTGTTCGGTTTGCTAAATATGTCTGTTTGATAATATACATAAATAAACCATGTGTGGTTTATGTGTACCACGTGTGTGTGTGTGTATACACATCTTTACCTGAATTCACCCTAATAGTTGTAAATCAGGCAACACATTAACTCAAGATTGATAATGAATGAATGTGCCTAATGAATTGTGATTGTTCTCATATACATTTATTAAACAATTACCTGTTGTGCAACGGTCAAAATGTTATCAATTTTGATGAGGCTAGATATATTTCTTAAATATCTTAACTATTAACACTGGTCAGTCAAAGAGGAATCACACTGACAGAGATCATGTAAGAAATATTTGTATTTTATTTTTGAAGTGCACTTTCAAAATTAAGCATTTTTATTGTGACAATATTTAAATGAAAATTTTAAAATCAACTGAAACATTTGAGAGAAATCACTGCAGAATGAGTAACATCAATAAAAATAAAAAAACTCAAATTTAATAGATTTGATTAAACTAGGATTTGAATATACTGAAATGCCTGTGCAGTCAGATATACTCTGGACGCACTACAAATCTAAAACTGTAGTCATCAGGACAGGGGTTCGGCAGACCCATACTGCTGTTATTTGGAATTACCGCCATGCTGTTTTTGAAATCTTGGACATGAAAGATATTGTTTTCATTCTTACATGTGAGAATCAACCTGTTGCTGTAGCGAATGGTGCTAGCATACATGTTCTGATTACCATATCCGTACAATCTTGCAACAGGAAAAGATGTACATGAAATACCATAATTAGAGCATTCCTGATTACTAAGAAACACCTGGGCTTGCCACTGCACATTTTGTTCTCTGTAAAGAGCACTAGGGTGTGCAGGAGTGGAGAAGGTTTGGATTCTGGATTGGATTCTATTTTGGCCATACCCACGGTTATAGTTATAACCTATAGTATAACCATAGCTGTATGTAGGCCTATTACGTGGATATTTGACAGTGGTTGCATTTAAAATTACACTCCACTCATCTCCAGTGTAGATTCTGGGTAGATACTCACTACTCATGTTATATATTTGCTTTCTGATCTTGGAGAAGGGCAGAGCATTGAACTGAAATCCTCTAAGCAGACCAGTTAGGTACAGTTTCTCATGATTCCGACGGAGAACACTTGAGGAAAACTGCATTTCGTACAGTTTATCCACTGGGATCATGAGGAAGCGGATGTGATTCAGGAGACTGGCCTGTTGATCTGAACTAATCTCATCACCTTTGTCTTGGATCCATCTCTCCAGAGCTTCAAGAAGAAAAGCTTCACCCTTCACAACCAGGTCTGAGCGCCGCAGCAGAGCGTCCATCATGTGAAAGGAGATGGTGCTCCACACTGGAGAGCTTATGAGGAACTCACAGTTCCAGGAAAGATACTGAAGGACGTTCTCCTGCAGAACAAGGTCACCTGTGCGGACGCCATACTTGAACATGGATACCTGGGTATGGAAGGTGTTGTCTTCAGGAATGAGTAAAGTGAAGACCCTGCCAACATCCTCCATAAGCTTCTTCACTCCAAAGGTAAATGCCAGCTGATGCAGACATTGAGCCGATGTGATGGAAACATCAATCTGACGTGTGTACAAATACCTGAGCAAAAACAGTTCAGATACTATAAGTGTCTAACACTGATAAATATAGTCAGTTCTGATTTGAACAATTCAAATTCTCAATGAACTGAGAAAATTGGATAGAGCTATGAAGTTAAGTGGTCTTCAGAACATTACCTGAGAAAAGGAGAGACATGAGGATGGCAGGTCTGGCTGACATCCACTGTGAGGGTTCTAGAGTCTTTTGTTATGTTTAGTTCTGGATAAAACATGAGGATCATACTGTGCACACAAAAAGTCAATTCTGACTCTTTACTGTTGTCTTTTATATTAATTTTGAAATCACAACCATTTCCACGGTCAAACAGAAGACCAAGATCATCAGACAAACCCAGACTGTTATCCACAGAGAACTGACGATTGCTGGTTATGTTTGTACCTGCAATAATGTAACAAAATAGATTAAATAGTACAAAATAATACAGACATAAAACTGCAAATATATCTAGTTGCTGAATTTCTTACCAGTCTCACAGACCACCCCTGCATCCTCTTTATGTGTGCAGTCAGTAACACCCCAGCCCTTGAAGCTGCAGTCCGACAATGAGCTCTCCGAGCCTTTACAGTTCATGTCATCCAGCCAGATTGAACCAGAACCTAAAAAAATAAAAATATAAGACAATTATTTTTATCACAGTGTGTAACAAATAAATTGTGCTGTGGAGTTTGTACCTTCACCATAACGTCCTCCAGGTGTAACTGATTTTGCTCCAGGAAAACCCAGCTGACGACACACCACTTGTGCTTCAGCCAGGTCCCATCCGTCATCACAAACTGTACCCCACTGTCCGTCATGGTAGACCTCCACACGACCAGATGAAGGCAGATCCCCCACCAATCGCACTCTGCCCTCCTGTTTTGGCTGCTTTAGTCTGTCATCTTCAGCCAGTGACACAAGATGTAGAAGAACATAGAAATTTAGAGATGTTTACAAATATAATTGTGACATAGTATTTTTTTTTTTTTGAAACTCAAAAATTCTCCAAATACAAATACAAATAATTTAAAAAGAAAGGTTTTATTTACTAACCAAACAGGCTCAGGCGCGCTGCTGAAACGTGAAGAAACAGTAGAGGCCATAGAAGGTACATGATTCTTCTTTTGCTGGAGATATTGCAAACAGCAGCGACAGGAACACAATTCACAACTGAATGAGTTACAAAACATCTTGCTTTTCCTTTAAATAATGACCAAATCAAGTCAACTATTGTGAAACTTAGATCAAATGCTGTGTAATCACATTTGAGGGCTACCAAAAGTTTCATTTCGTGAAAATGTGAAATTTGGGAAGTTTCATTACTGCAACATATGCATTTAAACAAGAACTGTCTGTCAGCATGTCTGGGCTAAGGTTAGCCACATGCTGTGCAAGATCAGTCAAACCAAATTCACACAATACAAAAAGAAATGAATTAGTTAATTTCATACATGTTTTCCCTGTCACAGCCAAGAAGGCAGTTCCCCAGCTGCCAGCGCCTCTGATCATGGACAAGAAGATCATGGAAATGGACACCCACCAGCTCTTTGCTACCAAACTAATTCTGTCAGAAGGCTTGGTCACTGTAACCAATGTTGGTTGTGTCCGACTCTGTTTTCCCAGGGTCCCTACAGCCTCCCTTCCCAGTGGTTGCTGCCAACCCGTCCCTTTCCCTACTGGAGTCGCCACTTCCACCCTACAGCTCTTGCTTAATTGGGCTTCCCAGTCAGTCTCATCCCATCTGGTCCCGTTCCCCAGGCAGCCGGTTGTGTCCTACCCACCTGGCTCTTCTGCTCCACCTGATCCTGCCACAATGCTTTCTCTGCCCAGTCTAAAGCCCCTTTCTGACTGGGTGCCATGTTCCCTCTGTCTTTTCATCACTGCGACCAGCCCTCAATGGCCTCCCAATAATGCTGATCTGCTCTGGGTACTGTCAGGATTCTGCCCTCTCCTTATTCTTATTTGTTCATGTTTTCTATGTTTGTTCCAGGACCAGAGTTGACCAGGGATGGGCAGCTCCGGTCCTGGAGGGCCACTGTCCTGCAGTTTAGCTCCACCCCTAATCAAACACAACTGAAATATCTAACCTGTCTCTTCAGGATTGCTTGAAAATTGCAGGCAGGTGTGTTTGATTATGGATGGAGATAAACTCCAGGAGTAAAGTTGCCCATCTCTGGTTAAGACCTTAGCTGTGTTCAAAATCTCCCCCATGCCCTTATTCACTATTCCCTACATTAGTCCACTAATATAGTCCAGTTGAAGGAGTGAATGAAAATAAGCGAGCAAATTCAGACACTGAGTGCGCCAGGAGGGTTGCCACTTTTGCGTAGTTTGTGCTGTAAGAAACTATAGTCTGCCCCAATCCAGATTCCACTCCACACTAGATGTTTGATTATGCTCATTTCCCAGAATGGCTTAATTATTATAGAGAAGATGAAAGTCAACGGTTATGTTGTTTCTAGATCATTTGGGATGATTACATCCTGAGCAAATGGTGACCAATTGTAGAATGGGAATGGGTGTGGGACACCGAGAACCATCTCAGGCAATGGGATGTCAGAACTTCATTAACATACAGATCACAGCTGTTACGACAGGAGAAACTTCATTTACATTAAGGGTTGTAAACTGTAACTGTATAAAAGGTTTGAGTTTAGGATGTTCGGGGTTCATTCTGACTCCGTTGAACCCAAGGTACTACATGTACTTTGTCACTGCTATGCTGCAATAAACATCTTCATCAAGATATTCAGCGTCCTCATCATTTTTTTTACATTGGCGAGCCACCCAGCGAGGGATTTCCAAAAAAAAGTGGGGAAAGGTAAGAAAAGCGGTTTCTTTCTTCTATGCCGTTTTTGTCAGGGAACCCCCTCGTTTAAAAAAATCTAGAAAATAACATTTTAAAGACAGAAGTTAGAATTTGCTTTGTTCAGTATGAGCAGGAGTTGTTCTTAAGCCTATTCTGTACAATTCTGTTTAAGATTCTAACGGAACTGAATCAGCCCGACGCAGTGTGGTGGCAGAGTTGTATTGGAATTGTTGTTAAAGTAACTGAAGCAAAGCGCTTACGTTTAAAGTTTCTAAAGTAACTGAAACAAAGTTGTACGTTTCTAACGTAATTGAAACTGACTGAGAAGTTGTTATAATTTTGATGAAATTCTAAAGTATTTGAATTGACCCAACGCAGTGTGGTCAGAATTATTTCAAAACTTTTGTGTGTTATAGTTTATAGTGAGTCCAATGCACTGTGATTCCGAAGTTGTTAAATTCTCAAGTCAGCGACTATGTCATGTCATTGAGAAATCGCAAGGCTGAAGAGATCATTTTGAAGGAACAGATAGTGAGATTAAGATGAGAAATTTCAAAGTCCGAAACAGAGGGAATCATTTAGATGTTTGTATGAAGTGACAACTACACATTTGGAACATGCCCAATCCAATTCTGAATATTGTGAAAATAACTGCAAGGAAGCCTTTAGTCTACAACATAGTTCTTCAGATGATTCTGTGAGGTTCCCAATAGCACCAGTGCGAACAAGACAGACTGGAAATGGAAATAGAAATGAGAGGGTTCTTTCATGGACATTCAAAGTCTTGTTACAGCAGTGGGTACTTTTCACCCTGATAACATGAATCCTGTAGAGTTTTCGTCGAAACTGGAAAAGGTAGTGAATGTTTATAGTGTGTCAGACGCAGATGCTTGTAGACTTCTTATGATCTGCATTCCTCGATCATTAACTAGTGCTCTCTCACAGAACATTCGTGACAAAAGAGCAGAGAGAGGGGCAAGGAGAGAAGCTCTACTTAGAGTTGTTGGGACTGATTTGGTTAACTTGAGTAAGAGAACTGAAGTGACAATGGAAACTGGGGAGCATCCTATGGCATTTGCGTCCAGGTTGTGGGAAATGTTTAGTCGTTACAGTGGTGTGCCAAATGCAACTAAATAAAAACTCATGTTTAAGTTTGCATTAAGTGCACAGAGTAGATCACACATGCAAGAAGCCATTGCTCTTCATGTAAATGTAAATACACCATACGAGCAAATCATTTCCAAAATGACAGCATTTCAATGCAAAAAGTCAAATAAAAGCATTAGAATCTAGACATCCAGTTGCTGCCTTTGGCAGGAGAGAATGTTCTAGACCAGTGTTTCACAACCGGGGTGCCGTCTGTCGAGAGCAGGGGTGCCGTGTATATGAAGGAAGGAATTTTATTTCACTATTTACAGGGTATCTGCAGAATTTAAAAAAATAAATTTAAGGCAATTTATGACCCATTTTAACAGCTGCACAAGTAAAATGAACACCGTATGAGTGGGGTTGGACAATGTCTATGGTAACATACAGTACTGAGCCATAAAATTACATGATTTACAGTTCAGATACAGGTTTTCACAAAAACAAAAATCTTATACAACAGCATTTCAGCCTTCAGACCATTTCTTATGAAAAGGGATAAATCAAGCATATAAATTGTCAATTTAAAACGTATAAATAATTATACGTCTTAATTGTTTTCGATTTTTAGAAGGCACATTAACTTCGTTCTCATTTACAACTCTGTGTTTGCTGCATAAAAACATGAGTTGATATTTGCATTGATCTGACCATAAACAGCAAGAAAGGCTTGTTGGAAATGCAAATTCATTCTCTGCCACAAGGTGGC